GCAGCGAGACCTCATCTCTACAATAAATCAAAAAATCAGCCGGGCGTGGTAGCGTGTGCCTGTAATTCCGGCTACTTGGAAAGCTGAGGTGGAAGGATCGCCGGAGCCCAGCAGGTCGAGGCTGCGGTGGCTGGGAGCGGCCACTGCACTCCAGTCTGGGCGAGAGTGAGACTCCAACTCAAAAATATAAAAATAAAAAATAAAAAAATAATAAAAAACTTGTATTGAAAAATAGTAACTCCCTGCCTCATCTCACCTTATTCTCCAGTTTTGCTTCCCGTAGTCAGGTACTTTCAGTTTGTTAAGCTATTTCTGCTGGGATTTAACTCAGTATTTCTAAATAAAATTCTTATGCTGCTTTTTCTAAATTTATCAACTTAGAAGCTTCATACTTCTCATTTTATTAGTTGAGGAGCTAGCTCTTGTAGTAGCACCTCCCTCACTTCCTTCTTTTATCTTCCATCATATTTATATCATAGATTTTGAGTAAATTTTTTCATCATTAAAATTATTATAACTGACAAAATATTTATTAACAAAACACTAACTCCCAAGTTATGGTGAATTATTGCCAAATTTAGATAATATACTGTGATTATTTTGTCTTTTTTTTTTGATGCTTTCTGTTTCGTGTAGTTGAATTGCCCTACTTTTGAAATTTGCATGATTTCTTTGTATCTATTGCTAATGTTGTCCAAATAGTTCAAGAGAGCTATCAAATCTCTAATGATAATATTCCCAAACATTCTAACACATTGGTTAACCTATCAAGTTTTTTATTTTTTTAGCCTGTCTCTCTCACTCTGTTGCCTGGTCTGGAGTGCAGGGGTACCATCACTGCTCACCACAGCCTAGACCGTCCGGGCTCAGGCGGTCCTTCCACCTCAGCATTGAGTGGTTGGGACTACAGGCATGTGCCACCATGCTGACCACTTTTTAATTTTTTTGTAGAGGTGAGGTCTCACTATATTGCCCAAGCTGGTCTCAAACTCCTGGGGTCAAGCAGTCCTCCCACCTCCGCCTCCCAAAGTGCTG